TTACTGACTCTTATTATGTGGCAGACACTAAGTGCTTTACATACACTATCTCGTTTAATCCTCACAACCCTATTATTATCCCCACTATAGAGAGGAATAAACTACGGTTCAGAGATGTTAAGTAACTTCAACACACAGCTGGGAAGTAGTGCAGTTGGGCTTTGAATGCAAGCAGTCTGACTGCAACTCTCTTATGTTCGAGTCCCTCTGATATACTTTGGGGATGCATCAAAAACACACTAAAACTCCTGGACTGTATACCATAAAAGGGTGAATTTTTGTGGTATATAAATTACATCTCAATTTAAAAAAATCTGAATGAACAAAAATTTTGGTTGTGATATATGTTGACCACAACCCTAAGAATTCAGCTGATTTGTTTCTCCTCGTATAAACCAGCTTTTAAAAAATCAAAATATCTCTTAAAAAAAGATGAATGAAATGTTTCAGATGTCTTTATAGTCCCACAAAGCCAGTTCCAAGTTCCAATTCTGCCATTTGGCCATGGAAAACAGAGTTCTGGTTTTCTCTCTTATAAAGTGGGGACAGTGAACCTGGCCCTGTCAGGCAGTTGTGGGGATTTGAAGGAAAGGCTGCATCTGGCGGCAAGCTGGCCTTGGTAAAGCACAGCTGAGAGTGCTGAATTTCATGAGGGCAGGGGTTCGGGGCATTCACATGGCACCATCACCAGGAACGTTCTGGGAGTGCCCAAGGCTGTTGAGACCTGTGCTCGCTGGAATCCAAGCCCACCTGAGTCTTCTCATCCTCACTGCAGAGTCCCCCCTCACCCTCCACACTCCTGCTGGGGTTTCTGCCTAAGACTCTACAAGGAGGACGGGTGCCTTTCCTCTTCCCTACCCACCATACTCCTTCTCTGGGCTGCCAGGGGCTGGGATTCCTGAGCCAGGTCAGTGTGTAAGCTGTGATGGGGCCTTCCCCACCCCCTGCCCCTGGCACCTGGGCTCTGGCTCACACCCAACACTGTCCTCATAGGCAGCTCCGTGCCCACAGGGGCCATGTTGCTATGGTGATTCCACTACCCACACAGTGTCCAGGGAGACAGCACAGTGTAGCTGGAGCTATTTGCAAGACTTGCTGAAACCAGGCTGGGAAGATTCCGGAAAGGGTCAGAAGGAGTGGGGGATGGGAACTAAGTGAAACTGCTTCCCCAGCAGTAGCTGTGTGTGTGTGTGTGTGTGTGTGTGTGTGTGTGCGCGCGCTCGCTCACACATAAGCCACCCCCTGTCCAAGTTATAATGGCCCTTCCGAGCAGAAGCACAGCCCCTAGAGAGGCATCGACTTGTGACTGTCATAGGTTTCTTCCTGAGGTGATGTTCATGGTTTATCTTTGTGTTTAGTTTCTATGCTGAACTCTAAAAAAAGAAAAAGAGTGACATTCATATGGCAGCAGAAGGAACTGAACTGTGACTTACACTGCTCCACATCTGAAGCTGGCGCCATGGTCCACCTTGTCCTTTGTCCTACAAGATTTCCCACAGAGCAGAGTGGGGCTCCAGGAAATTGTACTGTGATGGGGAGAAAGATGCCTACCCCTTCCCCCTCCCCATCCCCGCTTCCACAGTCATCCCATGTTCTAGGCAGCTTGTCTAAATCAGCTAATTTAGCCCACACACCGATCCTGTGCTTGTTACACTCACTTTACAGACGACAACACCGAGGCACAGAGATGCTATGTCACTTGCCACGGTTGGAGCTAATAAGTGTAGGAGGTGGGAGTGAAACCTGGGCTGCTGTTTGAAATCTGTGTTCACTGCTTCTCTCTCCTTCTCCCCCTTGGTGGGAGTTCACTGGAGCAGCCACTTAGGCCCGGAGAGAACAGAGACCAAGAGAGCAAGTGAAATAAGGGAGCCAACCCCTGGAATAGCATGTGGAGCACAACCCAAATTGCACCTGTTGGGTCCTGATGTTTGGGCTCCAGACTCAAGAGCTTTCCGTTCCCCTTCCTGAGCAATTTTGGAATTATTAAAGAAAGGACCCATGCACACATCTGTGCTGACCCAATTCAATCCAGAGTTGTTAATCGATGTCTTTTCCCCACAGTCATGAATGTGGCTCCCCTCTGCAGAGCCACCGAAACAGCCCTGACTGCAGATAAATGAATCCTCCGGGGTGGTGAGAACCGGGCCCTGCGTCCTCCCAGAGCCCTCGTGTGCGGAGCTAATGCTGATTTGTGAAGCACTTTATGGTTTATTCATACCGCTTTGCCAGGCTTCCCAGGACAACCTTCCCTCGCACAAATGAGAGCGACTCCCAGAATAGAATGTCAGGCTTCATTAAAAGAAAAAACCCGGTGTGGGGGATGTCCCTTTTTTGCTCCCTAGCCTGCGTCACCCAGTGTTTGAGGGATTTGGGTCACACCCCGGGAAGCACCTGTGCTGTGAGCAGGGGGGGATGTCAGGAGCTCCTTTCTAGGTGGGAGAGACTCTCAGAGGGTTGGGTTCAAGTCTCTCTGCAGGAAACACGCCCAGGCCAGTGAATGTGTTCCCAGGAGGCACGGAGAAAGTGGTGGGGAGCTAGACACAGGGTAGAGCTCTGATGCCCTTATTCTCGGCTGGGAGACTGAGGTGGGTCATAGAGGGGTCAGAGCACTGTGTAAATTAGAAGTCATTTATCTGCCCCTGGTAGTACTTCCATTATGGTCTCCTCAAGCTTGGGGAGGGTGTCCCCGAGCACAGAGGGAAGAGGAAAGCCTTGTTCTCCTCACTTAGCTTCTTTAGGGTGCCTCAGGAGCAGCGCCTTGCTCAAGCCTCACCAGTGCCCAGGAAAGCTGCCCATAGACACACATGGCACCCAGGAAATTGCAAGGCGCCCCAGGGCACAAAAATCACACTGATGCAGAAATGTAGGAGACTTCATGGGCTTCACACCTTCCCCAAAACGAGCAAGACTCCCACGTACTGACGTCACCATCCTTGGCCACAGGGTCATACTCTTGAGGGAAAAATCACATGGACTTCTGAGCAGCTCAGCTTCTTCAGAAACTAACTTCAGGTGCCCTGATGCCAGGCAGATGGGGGACTTGTGACTCCTGAATTCATCTTCTTTACCCCCAGAAAGGCGGAATAAAGCAGAGGGGGCGTGCTGGGCTTGGAATAACAAACTCAGAATAGGAAGCTTGAACTGAGTGAGCCCTGCAGGACTTGGGGTTTGACTGCCCTCCAGGTCCACCCAGAGAGGGTGGATGCCTGAGTACCTGACTAACTCACCACCCATCTGGGCTATCAGGGACATGATCACCCACTTCTCAAATGGAATCTTTCAAACAAGGTAAGCGTGTAGGAAAGGTTCTCAATTGCTAAACAATTCATACTGACGTTCCTGGCAACATTAACAATTTCTTGACATCGTGTAAGAGTCAGTCCAGTCTAAAAATCTGCAGAAATCAGGGGAGCATCATCCTGTACAACGTAAGATCCAAGGGGCTTCCTTCTTTTCCACCTGCTGTCTCAGAGCACAGGGATCCGATGCAGCCCAGAAAGTCCAAGGCAGTGGTGATGACCTGCAGCAAGTATGAGGGGCTCTCTGCTTGTTTTGCCCTCCCTGCCAACTTTCAACCCATCGCTGTCAGTAGTGGGCGATACTGAGATTTTAGAGCAGCAGGTATAAGCTAAGAGCCTGCTTCCCAAAATGGGGCCTACATTGCTCCCAACAAAAGAGCTGCTTTTGGATTTATTTCGTCATCACCAATCCTTTGACCATCCCTTCTAGCTCTGATCTTCCAGGCAGAGAATTAGATGCAATTGGGACAACAGAGAGAGACCCAAATGGCTAACCCAGTTTTTGAGAGATCACAGTGGTCAAAGTCCAGAAATAAATCTCAACTGGTCATCCTCATCTTAAAAAGTAAGTTGATGATACTTTCCACCGAGAGTTAGTGCTACACAATTACCAACTGCTAATGAATTACTCTTAAAATAATAATAACACCAACAACTGGGCAACAACAATTCAAAACATGTTAATTAATTTTCAAAATATTATTTCTAAAATATAGTAAATAAGTTACATTGTTTGGGCTCCATTAAATATATGCATTTTCATTGGGGTGGTATAGTTCCCAAGGGGGGCAACAGTGGGTCTTGAATACGAAAACATATTACTCTTTTTTTTTTATATCCTCACCCGAGGACATGCTTAGAGAGATAAAGGGTGTGAGGGAGGGGAGGAGAAAGGGAGAGAGAGAGAGAGAGAGAGAGAGAGAGACATATCAATGTGTGAGAGAAATATCTATTGGTTGCCTTCCATATGCTCCCTGACTTCCATATGCTCCCTGACTGGGGGTCAAACCCACAACTCAGGTATGTGCCCTGACTGAGAACGAAACTCAACCAACTGAGCTTCCCCGACTCTGGCAGGGCAAATATTACTCTCTTACATAGAAACTAAATATTACTCTCTTACATAGAAACTAAAGATATATATATATATATATATGGTACATATATGTCTTTGGTATTAAATTTTCAGGGTCCTTAGAGGGGGGGGGCAATAGGAAACAATGGTTGAGAAACACTATTTACGTAGAGAATAACAATTATGCTCTTTGCTATAGGACTCAAACTTATGCATACAGACTTCTCTCCTTATATTCTATGCATACAGACTTCTCTCCTTATATTCTGTGATGGTTATTGGGGTAAATGGGTGTGTTTGTTCCTCCTTAATGGCCCTGACCCTGAGCCCAGGTGCAGATGTTTTTCTCCCTCACTTTTCTAGGTTATCCAGTCATTCCTCAGTGGGTCATTCCTCAGTGGCCTGTCAAATCCATAATCTTAATTTTACAGGCAAATATTTAAGTCCATCCTGGTCAGAAAGCAACAACCTACTTCCTTGTTAAATTGTGTGAACAGCTGAGTGGACTGTCTTATGCCTGTTCATGTATTTTCACGAGTCTCTGGGTTTGCATGTGTGTTTTTGATGGTTGAGATCACCAAGAAAACCTTAGATCATGTTCCACTGGAACAAGCAGAAAAACTTACAGTGCAAAGTGTTTCGAAGGTCTTTTCAGAGACAAAGGATCCATCAAGGCCAAAGAGAAAGATGGATGCATAGGCGAGCATTCCTCCCAGGATGATGAGGTTGTTCATGTATGGACTCGACATCTTTATCAGCCTGACAAGAGAAGGAGATACTACAGTTACAGAACGGGTAGTGTAGTTATTCCTTCCACAAATATTTCGACTGTGTATACTGTTGTGAAGGTTAGAAGGGGAGAGAAAAATTTAAGTCCTGACCTCCTCCACTATCTTATCTGACCTGTGTATTAGGGGCTGTTTCCCCCTCACTAAAGGACCCCAGACAGCTATCAACTCCCAGTTGTTGATTTTCCTGCCTCCTTGGTCAAGTTCACCCACCACTTCTCTAGGGACAGCTTGTAGCATCAGCTTCTTCAACCACTAATTTTTAATTTACACAAAAACATTAAGTCAACAGCTTTTTGTGTCTGGGGCTGGGAAGACATGCAAAATCTATAGAATTTTACATTCAGGTTCAGCAACTATCCACAGTGAGAGGGAAGATGGCCCCACCACACTCCCCTGTGCTGAGTGGACTAGGTCTAGGAGGTCTACAGGTGAGAACTCAGGTCTGCTCAGGAATTGTGGCCACTGTAGTGAATGAGCATCTACTTTGGCTGCCTGAAGCTCACACTATCCCTTGCACAAAGAGGGCCACACATTGGGTAGGAACACCTCCCCCACCCACCAGGCAGTGGAGGTGGACAATGGCATCCTTATCTCCACCCTCTACCACTGTCTACCTCAGGCTGCTGTTGGGGGCAGTTTTTATACTCCCAAACTCTACATTCTTCTCTCTCACTTCCTTCAGGAATTCTGCTGTGACTCCCAGCTGCCCAGCAAGCCACGACTTGGTTAAACCATCAGCCGGCTGGAGTTCACCCTCAGAGGTGCCTGGCTCCCCTAGCACAATCCACTCAGAACATTTTGGGTTTTCAGGTGCCCCATGACCCAGGTGTTCTTTTGCAGATTGTAATTATGATCAATTTTTCTCTGAACAGTTTCCTTCAGAATGTGTATTTCTATTAATCCTTCCACATTTAAAAAGTGTAATGTAGTATCAAAGTGGAAGAGAGAGAAAAACCCTGCTGTAAATTGTGGACCATTTACATGGTCTTTCGAGTTGGGAGCAATGGGTCCAGCGCTTGGTCCCTGCTACCCACAGAGGTGCACAGAGGTTGGCAAAGCAATTAGCTGGCTGAATTTCCTCACCTATAAAAGCACAGATCATACTGCCAAGGGCACACGTGAAGCTGAGATGAGACTGGGTTCTTGGAGGCCCTTATAAACCAGGAACTGCTAAGGAACCTTCATTCTTATTATCACAGGAAGCTGGGGAGGGGAGAGGCCAGGAGTTGGGTAGGCTTCTTGGAGGAGGGGACCTTAATTTTGTAGGTAGCATTTAGGAAGACAAAAGTGAGGGGTATCTGGAACTTTAGTGACATTTCCCCCCATACATCTTTGTAGATTTTTAAATCTGCAAAGCCAGTAAAAAAAAAAATCACATGGATGTCAGCCTATTGGAAAGAATAATGATAATCTTCCCCAGGAGGCTAAGATGGGGTGGTTTAGGAATTAAAAGAGTTTAGTCTTATTTTAGGGGCCACTCACCACTGTGATGGGAATTCTTGAAGCTTGTGGAAAGGGAATCTAATGTTAATTAAGACTTTTGTGCCCAGGCCTTGTGCCAAATGTTCATCATTTAAGATTTGTATGCAGTGGACAAAAGTTGCTTCAATTTTTTTGTGTGGCAGTGAATGTGTTATTGGTGATAAAGAAAATAAAACAACAGGCGAATAAAATTCCTTTTTGTTCTTCAGGAAATAGGTTTGGCCTCAGCAGTAAAAAAACAACAACCTCCTAAACCAACAGCAACAAAAAATCGAGAGCCTGGAGGTTCCTCCTTTACAAACAAAGAAAAGAAAAACAACTGTTCTCCTGGAATTGGGCTTGTTCCTGGCAGCCCTGGAGGTCATGCATCGTGGCTTCTGGGCACAATAGCAGAGCTGTGCTGACCATGGGTGGGCACTGGGCCTGTGACAGAGAAGGTCCTGCTCTGAGTCCTTGCTCACCCTCTCCCACCACAAGGCCGGGAGCTGGAAACCAAAGAAGCTGCCTGTGCTTGGTAAACACTACCACCTGGGATGGTGACCTGTTCTACCCACCGCTGACCAGAATAACTCAGAAAGCGAGCTGCTCTCCCCTGGAGAGTGAAGGGCATGTGTGAGAGAACAGAAATCAAGGGGATGGATTCTGCCACGTGCAGCAGTGTGGCCTTGGACAGTGGCCCTTGCCGCTGAGCTTCTGTGCTCACATCTGTCATCTGGGGAGGGGCTTTCTGGACTGCAGTGTGCTGCAACCAATGAAGTGCCAGGCCTTGTACTTAGTGAACCCCCTAGGCAGTGCTTCCCCAAGACGCTGGGGGTGGGGCAAAGACACTGGGGAATGCTGTCTTCTAGATTTCTCCTCCTGGGCCAGCACAAACTGCATGAGCACAGACAAAGCTCTGAGAAGGCCTATGGACCTAGATCCTTCAATTTTATTTAAGCCCGCCTTCCCCAAACTTATCTGACCGAGGCTCCTGTGTAACGAGTAGCCCCATGTATGTGTGTATTTAAGTGTGTGTATGTGTGTGTGTGTGCATGTGTGTGAGTGTACACACATGGTCACGAAACATTGAATAACATCGCAGCGAATGAGAAGCACACTTTAGGAAATTGCCCTACAATCTTCTGTATCCCTGGAGAATCCGTCATGCAATGCTCGCATACTTTGCCAATGAGGTTTGTTGATCCAGAAAGTACAATCCAAGAGGAAAGTGTGAGCGACTTACTTCTGGTTCCGGTTCTTGATGTTGAAAAAGAGAAAAGCGCTGGCCATGATCATCCCCAGGATGGTGAGGGCAGAGAGGATGCTGTAGAGAGGTAGGGAGATCTTCCGGAGCTGCTCTAGGATGATGGTCTTGTCTTTTGGGGGTTCGGATCCTAGAAGGCCAAGGAAAAGACATCAACTGAGTCCAGTGCAGTCAGTGCCCGAGGGCATCTCTGCCTGGATGTTCCTGACATTTGCCACCGGTGCACAAACTCTGTGCAGGACACATCTACTGGGTGAGCGGGCTCTGGTGGCTGGCCAGCCTGCCTAGCAGGGAGCCTTAGCCAGGACTTATTTCTTTCTCTAAACAGAATCAATAAGGAATTTGTGATGCATTTAATAGCCATTAGAAGACTGGAATTTGATTTGGTCTAATTACCCTGTTGAAAAACTATTGCCATTTATCCCCAAAGGTAACAGTGGCTCGGAAGGTGCAGGGCTGGGTGCTGTGGGTACCATTGGGTGTCCCTGGGAGTGAGGAACTAGGCTTTGGCTTTCAAGGGCTATGTGCCAACACATGATAATGACCATCCCTCAACAGGGTGGACACCTTGCCTGTCAATTCCACAGAGATGCATATGTGCTCTGGCTGTGGATTTTCTGCTTCAAGGTCATTATGTTATAAAAGCTCTTTCTGATTTTCCATTTTCATAGGACTTGCTAACTGTGGGAGGCAGAAGCTGCCTGCATGCCTTCCCCTCCCTGTTGTGCCAGGACTGGACAGAAACTGTGGGACTCCATATCTCTGTGTGACTGCGAACTGTCCTTGCTCATTCTTCAAGGGCACAGGAACCTGGGGGAGCCCCAAGGGAGGCTGAGCAGACTCATCTTTATAGAAGGTGGCACAATTGTCCCGTTTTAGTTCTACCAGGTACAGGGAGGCTGGAGAGGACAAATGCAGGGATACCCCACCCCACCCCACTTTTTGCCAATCCTCTTTCTCAGCTGCTGTTTCAGGTCAGGTTTCTGCTGTAGGACTGTGAAATGTTGGGGCTTTTCCCTCCAGAGAAATGTGTGGAATCAGCCAGGTGCCTGGGAGTGGCCGAACCTGGGGGACCCACCAGGGGTCACAATGAGTCCCCCCACCTCATGGCGGTGCCATGGGTGCCAGCCTACATTATGCCTCCCTTCCCAGGAGACAAACAGGATGGGCAGATATTGCTTCAAGGGTTGAGGGCTCCCCTGAACATCTGTGTTTCAAAAACTCTGATAGCAAGTTGAAATGTGTTTGGAAACATTCAGTGGATAAGAGGTCTTTGAACATGTAAACAGCCTAGGGAAGCTGCCAGGTTGGAAAGCAGCTAGGAACCTGCTGGTATGGTTAATGTAAAGTGTTAAGCAATTCCAAGTAAACAGATTTTTATGAGGAGTGGCTCCAAGGACTAAAAGTCAGGGCAAAGGCAGACACAGGTGACAGAGGTAACAACATTTGTTGCTTCCAGTGAAAACTCAACATCTGGAAACTTCCTCCCCCTCCCTATTTACCTCCCCTCTCCCCCCACCTGTACCCTGGGCTGCATTAGGCTGGCTCAGGTGACTTCTGGCTCCCTAATACAAGAACCATCTTAGGGGTGCCCATGAGTTCTTGGCTGGAAACAAGCCACTCTCTGGGCACCGAGAAAGGGTTACATGATGACTATGACCACAAGCTGTTTGTGTAGAAACAACTTCAGAAAATGACAACAGCTCCTCCTCCTTACTCTACCCTCCCTTCCCCGAAATGGCACCTCCCACCTGTGCATCTTAACTGAGACATTAGGGAAGCCAAATGGTAACAACTTGTCAGAAGTGTTACTAACAGCAGCAGCCCTGAATTTTCTTTCTTGCTACTCATCTGGTCCATCCATTCATTATTCATCCATTTTTCATTATTTCTTCATCCATCACTATTCCTTCACTCATCATCATTAATGATGGTCAACATCATTAATAATCACCTTCCATCTATCAGGCCCAGTGCTGGGTACCAGCGATTCAAAGATAAACAAGATGAAGTCCCTGTCCTCAAGGAACTTACACATTAGGTATGTAAGGAGAAAAAGGCAACCATAAGCAGTAATATTTACCGAATGCTTACCATGGGCTAAGCACTTTATAGAGATTTTTTTATATGATCCACCCAACAATCCCATGAGTAGAAAAGATTATTCCCATTTTGGTGGGTGGAGTGGGGGTCGGCAACAGGTTTCTAGGTGTTAAGTAGCTTTTATAGCTAGTAAATGGCAAATCTGGCAGAATTTGACCCCATATCTGCCTAACTCTGAAGACGGTGCTCTCACACTATGTAAACTGCCTCCAATGGCCTGAGCAGAAAGCAGGAAGCAGAGTGCAGTTCTGCCTGATGGAGTCAGGAAAGGCTCCAGAAAGGAAGATGAGTAGTTAGCTTTCACCAGGAAGACCAGGAAGAAAGGGCATTTTGGGCAGAGAACCCGGCAGAGGCAAAGACATGGTGACATATGGCATGTTTGAGGAACTGTAAGCAGTTTGGTTGGGGAGATCTGACAGAGAAGGCAGAGAAGTGAGGAGGTGTCCTTTCATGGGTGTCTTGGGGGCAACACCATGGAGTAAGATCCCTTGTTGTGCGCAACGGACACCATGAAATGCTCTGAGCAGAAGTGGGGCATCTTAAGCATGGCATGATGGCATGATGGCAAAAGCACTTTGGCTGTTAAGGGTAAAATGGACTTGAAGGGGTTAAGACTGGTTAAGCCCGCCCATCCGCCCATCCACCCATCCATCCATCCAGCCCTCCATCCACTCATTCATTCATCCACCCACTAGTTCAGTGACTCACATGTTCACCTGTTCACTCATTTATTCCCTCATCCACTCACTTGGTCAATCATGTATTCATAAAATATCATTGACTCTTCAACATGTGCCAGATTATGGCTGGTGCCAGGAATTTAAAGCCAAATAGGAACCAGTCAGGGAGCTCATGGTCCAACAATCTAGATATTTTAATACAAAGTGACAGTGGCCATGGTAAAGGCAGAGAAAAAAACTGTGAAAGCCAAAAGAAGGGAGCCATTAGCCTGGTTGGGGGCAATCAGGGAAGGCTGCACAGAAGAGGTGTTATTTGATCTGGTTCTGGAAGCTGAGGAGAAGTTCTATAGCAGGAGAAAAGAGGGAATGGTCTTCCAGGAAGAGCAGCATGTGGAGAGATCCTATTATCAACCAAACCAAGTCCTTTCCCAGAGGAAAAGACAGAGCTAGATTTAGGTGGGCCACATTTAAAAAGAATTATTCCTGGCCATCCTCTGGTTTAAACAGATGCTTCGGTGAAAGCCAGCATTCATACAAATTCCAGTGACCCATCCCAGGAGCTGGAATACAGCTCCCATGTGAGTGATGGGAACTTGTGCTCTGTGAGTGAGTGCGTGTGTTGACAGGAGAGGATGTTCCCTCTTCCCCACAAGGCCAAAGACTCTGAGTTTATCCCCAACCCTCAGATAACATCCAGGCTTGGGACTGAGCAGACCCCCTCCTCCAAGAAGCCCACCTGCCTTACCTTGGAACCTAATGGTGTCGTTGATGATCTCCAGTGTGTCAGCCACAGCGTTGTATTCTCCCACCTTCACCTCCCTGCGGTCTGTGGGGAGCAATAGAGAGTGGCTGGTTAGATCCGAGTCCTGTGTTTGGGTCTGAGTGCTCCTCTCCTAGCTCTTGCTCTCCCCACAGCCCCTGGCTATATTCTTGCAGGCTTTTCCTTTCCCCAGGTAGAATCACAGAACTTCCAACCTGATCTGGGCTAGAACAAACACCCTCTCACACTCTCTCGTCAACTGTCCTTCGCTGTACATGTGTAGAAGGGGGACTCACTCCCCTTTAACTGGATTCTCTGCCTGTTACCAAGTCCTTCCTGGTCATTGAGCTGAATGTTCTCTCTGTAACTTTTCCCTGTCATCTGACTCTGCCCTCTGGGACCACATAGACTACCCCTACTCCCTCTGCCCAGGCAGGTCTTAGAGCTTGAAGACAAAGACAGAACACCCCACGACACTCTTCCCCGACCCCACCTTACTAAATGTCATTTCTATTTCCCACCTCACCCAGGCCCCTCCTGAGGCCACACTCCACAATATCACTGTCTGTCTGTCTGTCTGAGAGTGTAGACACAAGGACTGACCAACACGCTTTAGGCATGATTTGGTCAGCAGCAAGTAGAGGGGACCATCCCTCCTTCATTCTGCACATTATATATCAATTGATATCTTCTGAGGTAGAATTAGCATCTTTTGGAGGATGCATTGCTCTGCTGTGTGATACTGAGCACAGTGTTCTCCATATGCACTTGTCCAGGTGTATTTTCAGACCTAAGTGGTGCATTTGAATTTTCCTTCATCCTAGATTCTATTCTGTTGTTGGGTTTAGGTCAGTGATATTCAATTGGTGTGCCGCAAGAATTTTTAAAACATGCAATGCCTGACTATTTAGTCAGGGACACGGACCTCTTTTCCCTTAGATTGTCAAATAAAAAAATTACAACAGCCAAACACAACAATAGCTGTTCAGGGTGAATGAATCAAAATTTTACTGATTTTTTGTCAGATCAGCAAAAAATATATATTTTTGGTGTGCTGCAGATTTTTAGTAAGTAGTTTATGTGTGCCATGAGGTGAAAAGGTTGAAAATTGCTGGTTTAGGGCAATTGCCAGGGATAATTACAAAGACAACTAGACCAGGGCGACTGGGCAGGAGGAATGGAGAGTAGTAATTAGATTTGACAAAGGTTTCTTTTTTCCCAGGTAAAATCTGGACAATTGGGAGATTAATTGGTGGGGAAGATGGGGAACAGGGCAGTGAGCCAGTGACTGGGCGGGGGGGCTCCGGTGCCATTCCCTAAGTGGGGAACCCAGGAGGGGAAAAGATGTTATGTTCCTGTTTGAATGTGCTCAGCCTGAGACACCTGTCAGGGGGAGATCCTTGCTCTGGAGGGGGAGAAGTCTGGGCTGGGGAGAAGGAGTTGGGGTCATCAGCATGCAGGCTGGGAGGTGGAGCAGTGGGCAGGAAGGACACCCCGAGGACAGTGCTGAGTGAGAAGTGAAGGGACCAAGGACACAATCCTGGATAGCGCCAATCTCTGGGGGGCAGGCTGAGCAAGGACACTGCAAGGAGATTGGGAAGAAGTGGCCAGGATGCCAGGAGCAGGATGCCAGGAAAGAGTGGGCATTGTAGGAGCCAAGGAAAATGACAATTTCACCATGGAGCTGGCCAGCAATGTCACATGCTACCGAGAGCCTGGGCCAACAAGCTCCTTGACAGGGGGTCAGTGGATTTGGCGTATGTGGGATTTGGCATATCTGTGGTGACCACAGATAAAATAGATGCAGAGAAAGGTGGGGTTAGAGGCAGAGAACCAAAGGGAACCAGTGTGGGAGTAGAGAAAGGAGCCCCCAGGGCAGAGCAGACTTTGACAGAGTTGAGGAGTGGGCAGGCAGGGGCTGAGGTGCCCCACAGTGTGCCTGGATCGATGCTAGGAATTTTATGTGCCATCTTTTCAGTTCTCACAATTGAATGGACTAGGTCAGGGGTCGGCAAACTCATTAGTCAACAGAGCCAAATATCAACAGTACAACGATTGAAATTTCTTTTGAGAGCCAAATGTTTTAAACTTAAACTATATAGGTAGGTACATTGTTATTAACTTAATTAGGGTACTCCTAAGGCTTAGGAAGAGCCACACTCAAGGGGCCAAAGAGCCGCATGTGGCTTGCGAGCCACAGTTTGCCGACCACGGGACTAGGTGGTTTCAGTTCCACTTTGTAGATGAGGAAACCGAGGCTTGGGCAGGCTGTGGCTTTGCCCAGAGTCCCACTGGTACTAAGAACATGGGATCCCTGAGAGGTGACAGTTCCATGTCAAGCTGACCACCCATCAGCCACCTGTGCCTCCTGAGTATATTAACTGCATAGAGGAATGCCCACCCTCCGGCAGGCGGGTCCCTGGAGCTGCAGGCCCCGCATGTCCCCAGAGGAACTGCCTGATGTGGCTCTGGCTGTAAGTGAATTTCTTTGCATAAACGCAGGTGCACTGCTGGTTCCTTGAACACATTTAGAAAATGAAACAGGAATCGCATAGACCTGCCACACTTCTGCCTGCGTTCCTTTGACCATGGGGTGGAAAATAGGGCTATAAAAGTCACTTCCTTCTCCCGCAAAGGTCTCCTCACCATTTGGGGGGCTTCACAGCATGCAGGCGGCTGTGGCATACCTGGGTCACCCAGCTCCTAAATGTCACATTAGCAGACTCTGCTGGGAGCTCCAGCATCCTTGCTTAGGCCTTTTGAAGTCTTAGCCCCAGGCTGCTCCTGCCCCTCAGAAAAGGAGGCCCTGATTTATTTATTTGGCGTGGGGAGGCAGCGCATGAAATATGCAGGATGATCGGAATAAATCATTAGGAGCTGGGAAGTGTATGGCTGGCCGCCCTCCAGGCCCCCAGCCACACAGCCCACCCTTCTGACTCCTAGGCCCCGCTCTATGCCCCATGGCACCAAAATAATACTCAGCCTCCCACCAAGACCAAAATCACATAATCTCTCCCTGGAGCAGTGCTTGGAGGCTCACAGGCACTTCACACCTTCTTGCATTTAAGCTCACAGCAAACCATGAGTTGGGCATAACTCACCCCAGTGTATACTTGAGGGAGGGGCCTCACATAGGTTAAGTGCATGCCTGGACTTGGGTCCCCCAGTTCTGAATTCAGAGCGCTTTCACCACCCATACTGAGCAGGGCTTCTGATCATTCAGCCCACATTTATTGAGTGCCTACTGCACGCCAGGCCCAGCCCAAGGTATTTCATGATAAAGAACCCCTCAAAAACAGCAGTGTAGGCGGTGGAAGACTAGGTTATTTCCTCATCCTCAACCAACGTGGCCTTGGACATCTGTGGTGGAACTAGAGATACAAAGATGAAGAAAAAAATTCATAATCGCTGACCTTGGAGTTTGGTGACTGCAGCCTCTCTCAGCCCTAGCAGGGAGGTAAAAATCATTCCCATTTGCAGGCAGCACTTCCCTTCCAGCTCATACCCTATAAGCAGGTGGTTATAAATGTAAAAGGGGAACTTTCAGAGTGGCCATGAGAATTAGAGAGGAGAATACAGGCAATTTCTGGCTTGGGACCTAACTCATAGTGAGTGTTCAATAAATTATAGTTATTTGAGTCATGATAAAAGTAACTGTGAGCCATTTGCTAGGTCCCCAAACACTCCCTATGTTTACTTACTGCCGCTGGTTCCCCACAACAGTCCCTCTGCTTGGAAGGGAGCTTTCCCCTCCCTCTACAAAACCAAATGTCCAAACTTTGTCCACCTCTTCCAGGAAGCAGTCCCAGCGTACTGCCCCTCCCCTCCCAGGAACCAGTTTGCTGTGAGCTCAGCCCCTCGTGTTGGAGCAATGCCCCAGGTGTGCCCAGGCCTTCTGATTTCTGTCTGCTGATTGGTTCCTGAGCAGAACCTGAAGTCTGGCTTCTGACATCCTGGGCAGCATAGAGTCTTGTCCCCCACACCCTGCCCAGGGCCCCTCAGGGGTCTGAAGGTGGAAGGAGGGTGCCCCCTGTGTTCTTCCATTCACCACGGCCCAGGTGGTGGTGACTATGATAGGCACCCGGCACTTTCAACTTTTAAGTCTTGGGCTGCTTGGTAACTCCACTGTGCAAACAATGCTGACCACTCATTGAGACACAGAGGAGCCTTGCAGACCGAGGACAGGGGATCTGTGGACAGATAGAAAGGTCCACTGGGGCCGGGAGGTTGGGGTATCAAGCAGAGGGAGAGGGGCTGTGACACTGGGTCTGTTACTGGCTGACTGTCTGCCCCACAAACTCGGTGCAGGTTGCCACTGACTCACTGTGTGACCCTGGACCATTCCCTTCCTCTGGGCCTCAGTTTCTCCATTTGCAAACTGCACTGCAGGAATTCCAGTGGTTCTCAGCCCTAGGGATTAGGGTCACCTGGAGAACTAGAAAATACCTATGATTGGTCCCAGCTTGGACCTATTATATGAAAACTTCTTGGGATGGATCCTGAGTGGCAGTATTTTTAAAGGTCCTCTAGCCTGGCCGGAGTTGCTCAGTGGTTGAGCATTGACCTATGAAACAAGAGGTCACTGCGTGGTTCCTGGTCAGGGCACATGCCTGGGTTTCAGGCTCAAGCCCCAGTGGGGGTGGTGCCAGGAGGCAGTCGATCCATGTTTCTCTCTCATCGATGTTTCTACCTCTCTGTCCCTCTCCTTTCCTCTCTCTCTAAATTCAATGAAAACATTTAAAAAAAAGTCCTCTAAGTGGATCCTGATGCATAGCCAGAGTTGAGAACCACTGGATTACACTGAGGGCCCTTCAAGCTGACACTTTCTGTTCTCAGAGGCTAAAAATACTGTGAAACAAAAGCTCCCTTTCCCACAGAATAGTACTGGTTCCTTGCTGTGGGGCAAGAAAGGAGTGTTCTCTTTTAAAAAGTGCATTCTTTATTTCAAATTTTGGATTTGGATGATAGCTCCCATTCGTAAAAATTAGACTTCCCCCCAAAAAGTCCAGTCTGAAAATACTCACTGGCTGTGGGCCTGAGAGCATGCCTGAGACAGCAGGGAAATA